GATAACTGAAACTGTATGTCTACACAAGAATTTGTACATGGATGTTCACAGCAAGAGAAACAACCCAAATGTCCATCAATTAATGAATGGATAAACACAAACCAGTTTTATCCATCCCATGGAGTATTATACAACATGGATGAAGTGTGGAAATACTATGCTAAGTGAAAGAAGCCAAATATAAACAAACTTCCTTTTGATGATGATTCCATTTATATGAATGTCCAGAACATACAAACCTATAGATTCCTGGTTGTCAAGGACTGGGGGAGGGATAGAGAAGAGGAAGGGGGAGGAAGGATAATGGATAAGGATAATGTTAATGGATACGGGTTTCTTTTCCTTTTTAAAAAACTGTGACTGGATATACCACAGAATTTACCATTTTAACCATTTCTTTAATGTACAGTTCTGTGCATTAAAGTTCATTCACATTGTGCAACCATCACCATCAACCACCTCTAGAACCTTTTCATCTTTCCAAATGGAAAATTCTATATCTGGTTTTTTTTAAAGATTCATTTATTTATTTGGTAGAGAGAGCGCGAGGGAGCATGAGCAGGGGATGGGGGCAGAAGGCGAAGGAGAGGGAGAAGCAAACTCCCTGCTAAGCAGGAAACCCAACACGGGAGTTGATCCTAGGACCCCAGGATCATGACCTGAACCGAAGGTAGACAGTTACGTGACTGAGCCACCCAGGCGCCCCAAACTCTGTATCTTTTAAACACTAACTTCCCAATCTCCCCTCCCCTGAGCCCCTAGAAACCACCACTCTACTTTCTCTCTCTATAAATGTGACTACCCTTGGTGCCTCATCTAATTGGAATCACACAGTATTGTCCTTTTGTGACTGGCATTATTTCACTTAGAATGGTGTCTCCAAGTTTCCTCCATGTTTTAACATGTATCAGAAGTTCCTTCCCTTTTAAGGCTGACTAATACTCCCTTGCATGTATATACCACACTTTGTCTATCTATTCTTCTGCTGGTAGATACTTGAATTGCTTTGTTATTGTAATTTCAATTTGCATTTCCCTAATGACTAATGATGTTGAGTATATTTTCATGTGCTTATGTGCCATCCATATATCTTCTTGTTCAAATATTTTGCCCATTTTTAAATTGGATACTTTTCTTATTACTGTATTTTGAAAGTTCTTTGTATATTCTGAATACAAGTCCTTTATCAGACATATTCTTTGCAAAGATTTTTCTCCATTTTTGACTTGCCTTTTTATTCTCTTAACTGTGACCTTTGAAGAGCAGAGTATTTAATTTTGACAAAGTCCAATTTATCAATTTTTCTTCTATGGATCTTGCTTTTGGTGTCAAACCAAAGAAATCCCTGTTCAATCCAAGATTAAACAAACAAAAAAAACCTCTCCCAGGTTTTTTTTTCTAGAAGTTTTATAGTTTCAAGTTTTATATTTAGGCTTATAATCTCTCATACACTGTTGGTGGGAATGTAAAACGGTACAATTACTTTGGAAAACAGGCAGTTTTGTAAAAAGTTAAATATACACCTACCATATGATCTAGCCATTTCACTCCTAGGTATTAACTCAAAGAGAAAAGAATATGTCTATGTAAAGACTTGTACACAAATATTCATAACAGTATTATTTGTAATAGAGTCAAACTGAAGACAGCTCAAATGTACACCAGCAGGTAGAGAAAACAAATGTGGTACATCTAGAAAGGGGACTACTACTCAGCAATAAAAAGGAATGAAGTATTCATCCACACCACACATGGAAAAATTTTAAATAATTATGATGAATAAAAGAAACCACAGTACATACTGTAGGATTTCATTTATATAAAATTCTTTTTTAAAATTTTTATTTATTTATTTGAGAGAAAGAGAGAGCAGAGCAAGAAAGAGGGCAAAAGCTGGGGGCAGGAGCAGAGGGAGAGGAAGAAGCAGACTCCCTGCTGAGCAGGGAGCTGGACATGGGGCTTCTTCCCAGGACCCTGGGACCATGACTTGAGTTGAAAGCAGACGCTTAACCGACTGAGGCACCCAGGTAATCCCTCAAATTGTTTATTTTATTATGTGCAGTTTATTTTATTCAAGCTACATTTCAATAAAGCTATTTATTTTTAAAAGCAGCCATAGACTGAACAGTGTAGTGCATAAATTTCAGGTCACATGTGGCCCTTTTTGCTAAAGAGCCAAAGAGTTAATCACATACAATCAATCTCCATGTTGCAAAGCAATAATCTTAGGACTTACTTTATATTACAAAAACTCCTGTCAAGTTTCTAGATATACATCTATTAGGTCAGATTCTGAACCAATATACAGCAACCTGGGTGGTTTTGCCAGGATAACAGAATTAGATCTAGAGACTGCCAATCTACTATCTGCATAAGAGTTATTCCCACAAATTGCAATTGGTACCTACTATGTGCCCAGTTCTGAATCACCCTGTTTTAAAATTTCCATTAAAATTGTTTCCTTGGGCACTGCTCCTTCATTAGGCAAAACACATCCCCCATGGACTTTATTCTTCAAACTCCCATTCATTTCACTTCCTACTCTATCTCTGGTAACTTACGGTATGACTTTTGAAATTTTCTTCATCCATGATATAAAGTGGTTGGACTAGGTGGCCTCTTTAAAATTTATGAGAATAATCTTCTATTTGACATATATTGTACTATGTGCTACACCCTAAGAGAGAGGCAGAGATGAACAAAATATGTCCCTTGCATTCAAAGAATTTTCAAATGAGAAGTAAACACATAAAGAACTATAATATAATGCAACAGTGTCAAGCATCATTAACAGAAATAATGATAATGTCTCTCAGGAGGTCTGAGGACAGGTCACTTGAAACTGGAGTGGCCAAATGAGACTTTTTGGAGGCGACAGCACTTTACCTGGGCTTTCAAAAATGGAAAATATTGGGCGCCTGAGTGGCTCAGTTGGTTGAGTGACTGCCTTTGGCTCAGGTCATGATCCTGGAGTCCCTGGATCAAGTCCCACATTGGGCTCCCTGCTCGGCAAGGAATCTGCTTCTGACCTCTCTCTCTCTTTCTCTCTGTCAGATGAATAAATAAATAAAATCTTAAAAAAAAAAAAAAAAAGGACCAGCATGAACGCAGTTAGGAAAATGCCAAGTCATGCCCAAGAGAAAGTAAAGGGGGCCACATGGTAGCTGAAGCAGATGAAATATTTGTACAGTAGTGGAGGGAAAAGACGAGGCTGGAAAAGTACATGGAAATATACTGTAAGGGCCCAAATGCCAGAAAAAGAAGTCATGATTTCACCCTGTGGACAATGGGAAACCATGGATAAGACTTGGGACAAATGACCTAAGAAGTTAACTGTGGTTGCTGTGTGGGAAGAAATGTGCTGGACAAGGAAGCTTAAAAGCAGTGAGTCAGACTAATGCAAGAGACCTAGCAAGAGGGAGAAAATGAGGGCCTGAATTAAAGAGGACAGAAAAGAGATATTACATAGGCAAAACCAGATAATGTTAACTAATGGACTTAATGAAGCATAACATGTATAAAAAAGGGATGATATAGCCAAGAAAGCCCCTGAAATTAGCCAGTGTTGATCCAGTGATTATTTTTTTTACCTTTTCAAGGAGACGGATCACTTTTACATTTCTGGATCACAAACATTTGTAAACTGTTTTAAATGATCAAACGCTCAAATGCAAAGTGCTTTTTTTTTTTAATTTAAAGATTTTATTGATTTATTTGACAGACAGAGATCACAAGTAGGCAAGAGAGACAGGCAGAGAGAGAGGAGGAAGCAGGCTCCCTGCTGAGCAGAGGTCCCGATGCACAGAACACTGGGATCATGACCTGAGCGGAAGGCAGAGACTTTAACCCACTGAGCCACCCAGGCACCCCTGCAAAGTGCTTTTTAATCGAACCGTACAGATGTGCATAAGATGAAAAAAGTTGCCATCCTAGGTCCCACTTCTGTATTAATAGGTTCTGCTGTACCTTTCAGATATTCTCAATGTTACAACAGTCTGTGTAGTGGGGGGGAGGGGCAGCGATTGAAATCCTTAGAAACATTACACATAATGAGACCATACTCCTATAATATTCCTTTTTCATTCAACAACATGTATTAGAGATTTTTCCACGTCCACATATATAGATCTACCTCAGTTTTTCTACTAGCTGCACAGGGTTACACAGCAATGTATCCTAATTTATTTCCAACCCCTTTTAATGGATATTTAGGCTGTTTCTAGTTTTTTGCTGTCACCTTCTGTCATGCATCTCTCTCTCTCTCTCCAGGACATTTCGAGTGCGAGCATACCTGCCTGTTCCATGCCTACGGATCAAAAGATACGTGAATTTAAAATGTGGGTGGGCCTTGCTAAATTGCCAGGACAGGACGCTTTCTTAAGAGGACAAGAGTCTCGAACCCGTACACTTGATTGCGGAGCCTCTTCCTACGTGGGCAACCTCGCTTTCCCTCTCCAATTCCCGTTTCAAGGATGAAGGCAGCGAGGCCGGGCGGCGGCCAGGGGCACACAACTCAAGAGGCTGGACCTGCGCGCCGGGTCTGACCTCCCGACCCGGGGTCCCCTCCATTAAAGTGTCACCGATTTCCTTACGCTCCCTGCGACCGGGGAGAGCCCCTCCCCTCGTCCCAGCTACCCCCGTCTCCGTGCTTGGGGTCGTCTCACCGATGGTTCTCGTTGAGCAGGAAGAAAAGCGGGCCGAGGCGCAGTTCCGCTGCCTGCTCGCGGAGCTCGCTGAGCGGCACGGTCTGCAGTACCGAGTGAAGCGCGCGCAGCTCCTCCAGCGGCGCTTCCAGCCGCGACACCTCCCTCAGCAGCGCCAGCGCCTGAGCAGCCATCGCGCCCCTCCCGCCGGGGCTCGCGGGTCCGCTGGCTTCCGGCTCGCGGCTCGCGGCTCCCACGTCCCGGCGCGCCGCTCCTAGCCTCGCGAGATCTGCGGGGCGCAGCCTCCCTTCCCGGGGTTTCGGCCGGGACTGCGAGCTGTCCCGGCCGCACCAATAGCGATGTGGGGCCGGCGGGCAGCGCGCGCGCTCGGGGACCGCCAAGCCTCGCGAGACGAGGGCCGTCAGGGGCTGGGCCAACTGTCGCCAGTGGTTGCGGGGTCGCGGCCGGGCGTCATCGTGGGCGCCGTTCGGTGGGTCGTGGAGGCCGACTTTCCGGTCGGCTTGCGTATTTCCCTTAGAGAGCGAAGGCGCGTCAGATGCCCGGCAAGCGGAGTGGTGACAATGAGGACCCACAGAAGGTTAAACGGCCTCGCGGGCGGCCTCCCGGCCCCAAAGCCGGGCTGTCGGCTGCGGCGAGGGCGGCGGTGGTGGAGGCCGCCGCGGCTTGGGCAGCGGCCGAGGCCACCCCAGGCGGCGCGGAGGCCATGGGCATCCTGCTCCCGGGCCAGACCGGAATCAAGAGGAGGCGGAGGGTCATGCCTCTGGAAGACAAGATGAAAATTCTCGAGAAGCTGGAAGAAGGCGTGAGTAACACCGACGTGGGGCGCCTGTTTGGCGTCAACGAGTCAACCGTGCGCACCATTAAGAAAAACGAGAAGGCCATCAGGGCCAGCATGGAGAGTGTTTCGCCCGTCTGCTCCAAGGTGCTGTGCATTCCCCGGGACGTCAACATCGAGAAGATGGAAACCGAGTTAACCTTTTGGGTGGAGGACCAGACCATAGGGGGGCGGCCTCTGACGCTGAAGGCCATCTGCAGCCAGGCCAAACGCATTTACAAGCAGCTGGTGGAAACCACTGGCAACGGCAACCCGGATAAGTTTCATGCGAGCAAGGGATGGTTTGAGAAGTTTAGAAATCGCTACAGTCTGCGAAATTCGAGGTTGATGGGAGAGGAAGAACCGTTAAATGCCCAGTCAGCGCCCAAGTATTCCAAACAACTCCAGAGACTGATCAGGGCCAGGGGCTATGTGCCTCAACAGGTCTTCAACGCCGAGGAGATGAGCCTGTTTTGGAAGTGCATGCCCTCACGTACTTTTAGGGAAAAAGACAAAAATCCCGAAAGCTTAGAGGAAGCCAAGGACAGGATTTCCCTCATTTTTTGTGCCAACGCTGCCGGTGACAAAATGATAAAACCCTTGCTGCTTTATAAAGACCCTAATCCCACTTGTCTTTTGGAAAAAGATAAAAACCGCCTTCCTGTGTTCTGGCGATCACACCCCAAAGTATCACTAACCACTGCCCTCTTCTTGGATTGGTTTCATAATTGTTTTATCCATCAGGCCCGGACTTACTTAATAGAAAAAAATCTTGAGTTCAGAGTGTTGCTAATTCTGGACAGAGGTCCCAATCACCCCGACTCATTATTCTTTGCTCATCCTAATGTTGATATTGTGTTCCTCCCTCTGGAAGGCACTAGCTATCTTCAGCCCTTGGATCAGGGTATAATTGAAGCATTCAGGAGGTATTACACCAAGCATATGTTTGACCACTTTGCTGACTGTATTGAAAAGAACCCTTGTCTTACTTTAAAAGAAACATGGCAACAGTACAGCATTGCCGATGCGTTGGTAGTGATAAAAGAGGCAATGGATGATATAAAACCGGCTGCTCTTAATAAAGCCTGGTGGAAACTTTGGGATGATGTTGTGAATGATTATGCATGTTTCCCTAGAGCTAACGAAGAAGTTGCGAAAATCATAGAGTCTGCAAAACGGATGGACTTTAAATTCTTTGACATTGAAGAGGGTGAAATTAACGAACTGCTCAAGTTTCAAGCTTTGGCCATAACTGAGAGAGAGTCTGTATCAGTAAATACGGAAGAAGACAAGTCCCCAGAACCAGAGGTTAAGATGAATCTAAGGAAACTGAATGCTGTCTTACGTCAGGCTTCAGACCTCATTGATGCTGCAATTGATATGGATCCATTCCTTGACCGAAGTTTGGCCTTTAAAAAAGACTTCAATAAATTGTTATATACCTATAAAGAGGTGCAAAAGAACCTTCAGAATAAAGCAAAGGAGTTGAAGGAAGAAAAAGACACGAACAAAGAGGTAGTGTGGATGAAGACGATGGATACAGAATCGGAGTCTGAAGGGGAGTCTGAATCTGAATCCGAGTCTAAATCCGAATCCGAGTCGAAATCCGAATCTGAATCCCATAAAGAGGAGAAGGTAGAGAGAAAGAAAGAGGATAAGAAGCCTCCAGAAGAAGATCCTGGATCCTCAGGCAATGGCACTGAGACTCTCACTATATCTGAAGAATCTGCCAAAGCCATAAATGCAGAATTGGACTTTTGGAATCTAACCTTGGAACTGAATCTGGAGAGAGTAGACGTACCTGAACTAAAGGAAGAAGAGAATCCAGAGGCATTTCTTTCCAAATGACAGTTCATCTCTTGCATTCTTCCCCTGTTGCCCCAACATCTACCTTCATCATGACCATCCTTATCATCACCAGCCACATATCCATATCATTTAGTCATTCAACAAACAGTTATTGAGTATAAGCTCTGTGGGGTCCTGTGCTAAACTTGGGGACATCATCTCAGGAAATCATCTCAGGATCTAAGGTAAATGGTCATTAACAGTGGCTACATTTCTTGTTAATGTAATAGGTATAAAAGATCACAGTCTTGACTTATTTTACTGGACTTCGAATATAAAGTTTTTCTTAGGGCCACAGCTTCATTTTCTCTAACCCAGTTTCCCACAGATACTAAGTTCTTCAGTCACTAATGGAGATTTTCTGAGTTAACCATGGTAGTCAGTATGAGATTACTTGCTTTTTTGTTTGTTTAAAAGTTTCAGTTTTAAGTAATCTCTGCTCCCAACATGGGGCTCAGACTCACAACCCTGATATCAAGAGTCAGTCATATGCTCTATCTGCCACTGAGCCAGCCAGGAGTCCTGAGACTACTTGCTTTTGAAAAGCTGACATGGGCTTACGTGTTCTACAACATTCTTACATGAATTTTCTTTGTTATTCCTCACTGTAGATCTCTGAAGGTGGTATTAGTCCTTCCTTTACTGCCCACCCCCCCACCAGCTCAGAGCGTTAATGTAATTGTCCTGAGTCTTCACAGCTAACCATGTAAGTGATAAGATCAGGGCTGCAACTGGTTTATTAACGACTTTGTCAGACACTGGTGAGAAGTGTGGGCCTTTAAGAAGTTGGAGTCCCAAGGAATGAGACAGACAGTAAACAGATAATGAAAATAAACACAAAGGCTGTGAACCAGCAGCCTGCTAGCCAGATTTGGCTAACAGATGTGTTTTGTTTGGTCTGCCCAGCACACAGCAATTTTGAATTGGTTTCCAGCATTTCCACGGCTCCTTAAGGTACAGTTCACATATGATACAGAATCCACCAATGTAAGTGTATAGTGTGTAAAATCTTTTTAACATTTGTGTAACCACTTCCACAATCAAGATATAGAACAGTTTCCTTAACTTAAAGTAAACTTGTGGCCTTGTGTACTCAGTCCCTTCCCCTGCCCCAGAGATATCATTTAGATATTAAGATATTTCACATTAAAAAGCTGTATTAAAAAATTGCACATCCTGGCATCAGTGGACTCTGTGTTCATGAAGGGAGCAGTCAATCAGTCATTAGCTTGCTGCTTTTCTTACCTGTTTGCAACTCCGCATCGCATCGTTGATGATGTCGAACAAAAGTGTATACAAAGTGCCTTAGGGGAAATAGAGGACTGTGGGATTAACCCTGCAAAAATCTGCTCGAAGCAGCTGGCCTAGAAAGATAAATGAGTTCAGAGGAAGAGCAGGTGGGAACAAGAGTATTTTAAGCCAAGAAGGATTAGATGGGAGATCCTGTGAGGAGGAGGTGCTGTGGGGGATAGGAAGGCAGCTGTGGGTGTGGGTGTGCGTGTGGGTGTGCGCACCCGTTGTGTCTGTGTGCTTCACTTGTTTTTGTTGGCAGGGTGGACCCCTATAAAGTGGAAGAGTTTTGTGTATGTGTATTAGTGTTTGTGTGCCATGGTTTCTGGAAGTTTCATATAGTTAAGAAACTTAGATCTCTATATGTATACATGTGGGGATTTTAATCATTTTGTTGTTGTTAGACTGGGATGGGTAAATTAGTTTCTTCATTTTGCAGGCGTTGTAGGTCAGCATATGGTGTCTGGGTTTTTTGTTTCTAGGAAGAGAATTTCCTAGTGAGAATTACTCCCTCTTTCCCTGCCCCCTCCCCTCTTTCCTCCCAGCCAGCCTGCTGGGGTCAGGCTGGGCAGTGGGGCAGGCAGCGGGTGGCGTGGTGAGGGGATAGGGCGGTGGAGGCCCTCAGTGCCCGCCCATCAGCTTGCAACTCAGCCCGAGGCTGCAGTTTGCTACGGCTGTGCTACTAAATTACCAGCGACGCCATGGACAGGCTGGGCTCCCGGTGCCCTCTGCCAGGCTACCTGCGGCCCTCTGTCCTCATATGCCTCCTGGTGAGTGCCCCATGCCCTGTGAACTCTCACCCCTAACCCTCCAACCTGGGGGTTGAGGGGAGAAGGTGCATTTCTTTTTTCTGCTCCTGGGATTTTGAGCTGGGAGCAAGCAGGTAGGAGGTGGAAGGGGAAATCCTTCAGGAAAATGTTAAGGTTGGAAGTGGCCACAGAGTGCCACCAGTGGTGTAGTGGTGGTGGTTGAGTGGGAGGTGGGAAGAACTGTAGGAGAGCATCACAAGTCTTGCTGCTCATTTTTTGGGTGATTTCTTCTCTCTGGCCCTTATATTCCTCATCTGAAAAATTGGCACAAATCAGTAGCTCTTAACCTTTTTGGAACTGTAGGTTTTCTTGATTTGTGTGTGTGTGTGTGTGTGTGTGTGTGTGTGTAGTATATGAAAATTCTGGATTTGTACAAGGAAAATGTATAGGTAAACACAATGTAGCACTCAATGCCAGAGTATCACAGATTCCTTAAAATTAGGTCAATGATAAGGTTAGAACCACTGGGTGGTTTCTGAGGTCTCTTTTGCCTTACAGAGGTTGTAAAGTCAGTTAACCTCCTAAAGTTATGTAAATATTCCAGGAACAAAAAAAAAAAAGGCAGAATGAAATAGGAACCAAAAGGATACATAAAATATTTTAAAAGAATGTAAATTAGAGAAAGTGTTTAGTAAAAGGTAAGTATGAAAGTGTTATAAAGACTTCAAAAATTCTAGTGACTCTTCTTCCGTTAAAATGTTTCTGTTGGGGAATATTGTGATGTGCGTATTTTCCGTCAAGTTTGTGTTCATGTGTCACAGAATATGTTACAGAATATATTGTAGTCCACCTTTGGTTCCAAACTGGCCTCTCATGCTTCCGATACACTGTTGCTAGGTCTACAAACATTTCTCAAACCTCCCTACCAAGGGTGGTCAAATCCTTCGCATGTGAAAATGAATGAGACTGAAGAGCCCATGTGCAGTGGGGGACACATGTGTAAGCCGCTGTCTGTACTTCACTGGGATCAATGGAACAGCAGAAGGATGTGAGCAGCAATCCTGGCCTCTATTCACTAGATGCCAAGAGCATCTCCTCCCTAGTCTTGATAGTCAGAATTGTCTCCAGACATTGTCAGATGTCCCCTGGCGGAGCAAAATTGCTCCGAGTTGAGAACCACTGGAGTATGTGAAGCTGAAATGACCCCACTAAACCCATTCCTAGACACGCTCACAGCACTTCAAAAAACCCACAGTGGGATGCAGGAGTCTTGGATTCAAGCCTTGGTTCTTTCCCAGAGTTTCTGTATGTTCTGTCTCAGTTAACTTGTTTGTGAAATGAAGGGTTATCTTAGATACCTGGGGCCCCATTTACCTCTTAGCATTTTGACTATGAGTTCATATGAGAATTTCAATACATTTTAGGTGAGTTAATAGTTAATCCTGTAAGCTCAGTTTTCCATTGATGCCTACTGGCTGAAATGTTCCAGATCTTCCTTAGGAATGACTTTTTTGGTTCGGGGACAGGCCACTACCCTTTTTGCCCAGAGTCTTTGCTGGAAGCTACTTTAGAGTCATTGGAGCATTACAGTGTTCCAGTATGTTTGGTTCTCTACTTAAAGCCAACAGTGGATGACTCAAAAGCCCTATCTACTTCACTATTTAGTCTTTTTTTTTTTTTAAGATTTTATTTATTTATTTATTTGGCAGAGAAAGAGAGCACACAGGTAGGCAGAGCGGCAAGCAGAGGGAGAAGGAGAAGTAGGCACTTGGCTCCCTGCTGAGCAGAGAGCTCCATGTGGGACTCCATCCCAGGACCCTGGGATCATGACCTGAGCTAAAGGCAGACGCCTAACCTATTGAGCCGCTCAGGTGTCCCCACTATTTAGTCTGTATAGCCACATCTTGCTGGTGTATTATCAATTCACTAGTTTACAAGTATTTATCGTGAACCTTCTGTGTGCCATGAACTGTGCGGGGAGTACAGTGATGAGCAAAGCACGGGGCCTTTCTTTATTGGATCAGTGATTACAAAGTCTTTTTCCTGTCTGGTTTGAACCCATGACAACTCTGAGGTAGGCAGCAGAAGTGTCAGAATGTACATTCTCTAAATAATTATAGAAGGGAGAGGAGGTAACTTGTCAAACGCCACAGGCAGTTAGCAGTACTGGCACTAGGATTTGAATCCTGCTTTCTAGTGCTTTTATTTTTTTCTTATAGTCTAACTGAGTTGTCATTTAAAAACACGCATACAATAAAAGCTTCATTGAAAAGCCTGGTTCTTTTGTTCTTGCGTGGTCACTGCTTTAGTTCAAAGGACTGGTATTTTGATTTGCAGGTGGTGGAGGTAGTAGGAGGGAATGAGAAACCCAACCCAGACAGGCCTCTAGTCAAACTGAAGCTCCACACATAAAAACGCTGTTCTCAGGCCCTGCCAAGAAGTAGGAGCCAGGCCCCAGGCAATAATGTGGATGGAGTGGGAGGACAGCGGCTTATTTGAGTGAGGCCTGAGCCCTGGGCTGGGAGGCAGGAGAAGCGCACTTCTGTTCAGCCTTGCCTGGGTCACCATGGGCCTCCTTGCAAGTTGCCTCTATCCTGTTAGTGGCTCCATGATCCTCCCCTAAGCAGAGAGCCCTGGAACAGAAGCCATTCTCCAGTTGTTTCCAGTTCCTCTTATTTTAAATGTTTATCATTAAAATAGTAAGAACAATTGTATCTTGAGTGTCTTCTGTTCTCATATTTTCACTGCCATCTTCTTTGCTCAAGATCTTGAGGTGTGTTTCCTGGATCATTGTAGTGGCCTTATAAGTAGACTGCCTTCTGGTCACTCCTCTCTCTAATGTTACTCTATCCAGCTTGACCACGTTTATTACTCTCCTACCTAAAAAACCTCCAAAAGCACCCTATTCTATGAGTACAAACCCTAAACACCTCTGTCAGACCCTTTTCTTTATAAGGCTAGCCAGTCTTACTTCTCTGTGATACCATACCTGCAGACTGGATATCTCATCTATCCCTAAATACCTCTTGAGTCTATACATATTATCATTTACTAGGAGTACCTCCCTCTCCACTTGACAACCTACTTACGATTTCGATCCAACTTAGATGGTACCTTCTCTTTGAATCTTCTTCTCCCTCAGGTATAGCCTTCCTCTAGGTCCCACCACCTCTCAGTTACAGCAGCGCAGGTCACATTACTTTGAATTAGTCTACCTTTTCCACTGGACTCCCTACAGTGCCTACCCAGGCACAAATGACTGGAGGTGAAATTGACTCTACAAAATCAGATCATTCATAAATAATCCCCGTAGGATAATAGCAATTCAGTGGATTCTGGCTGGCATTACCTCTGGTTGCAGTTTTATACAATAAGAATGGATTTCTGCTCATCTAGATGATAATTCCTAATCACGGCTTCACCAATTACAAACTATGTGATCTTGATTTCTGAGCCTCCATTTTCTTATCACCTGCAAAATACAGAGGAAAATATTTAGGCACAGAAACTTTGTTTAAACACTAAAGCTTGATATTGGTACCAGGAATTATTTTGTGAATGGGGGATAGGGATGAAAAAATGACCCTTAGCCTTGGTTCCAGTTTGCTTGAGCTGGCAGATCATGACTTGGCCATGTCACTGCTGACCTGTGCTTTTCTTTTCCTACTGTGTAGATCCTGACAGCTGCTTTCCTGTCATACCCCATGCTCAGGACCCTTAGCCTGCAGCTCCGTTCAGCTGTCACTGGCAGCTATGTCTCCGGCACTTACTCCATTGTCTTTGTCAACTGTCCCAATGAGCAAATTGCTAGAGATATCGCCAGGTATGGTGCAGGGGCTCAGGTGCTGCCCCGGGAGGCTGGGGGAGCTCTCAGGATGCTCTACTGTGTCCACTACACACCTCTTCGCTTGGGGTCATAAGAAGAGCATGGCTGGGGGCGTCTGGGTGGCTCAGTCGGTTAAGCGTCTGCCTTTGGCTCAGGGTCATGATCCCACGGTCCTGGGGTCGAGCCCTGCATGGGGCTCCCTGCTCTGTGGGAAGCCTGCTTCTCCCTTTCCCACTCCCCCTGCTTGTGTTCCCTCTCTTGCTGTGTCTCTCTCTGTTGAATAAATAAATCCAACCTTAAAAAAAAAAAAAAAAGGCACTGCTGAATGATCCCGCTGCTGGGGTGGAAAATGTTGAGTGTGCATGAGAGCATTTAAGAGATACGAGGCCCAGAGAGCTAAGCGGCTTGCCCAAGGTATTAAGGTCAGAGGACAGGGTAGCTCTGCAGGCTGAGAATTTTAGTCCTCGAATTCTTGGCCCGGCTCTCTGTCTTCTCCACGATACTCTCTTAGCTTGCTCCCGGAGGCGCTCACCATGCAAGTGAAGCGGAGAAGGCTGTTCCATGTATTTGGCAAATTTCTTTCTTTTGTTTCTTTATTTTTGTTTTTCTAAAGATTTGTTTATTTATTTTAGAGAGAGAAAGAGAGTATGTGAGCAGAGGGAGGCACAGAGGGAGAGTGAAAGAACCCCAGGCAGACCCCCCTGAGCATGGAGCCCAGTGGTAGGGCTTGATCCTACAACCCCAAGATCACGACCTGAGCTGAAATCAAGAGGTGCATGATCAACCGGCTGAGCCACTCAGGTGCCCCAGTATTTGGCGAATTTCTCAAAGCAGCTGTGGTGTGGTGCAAAGAGCACTGGCCTTACAACGAGACCAGGGTTTGAGTTTTGGCTGTGCCACTTCCCTAACTGTGCGACCTCAGGCCACACTTTCTTTCTCAAAGTGTTAGTTTTCTGAGCTACAATATAGGATAATGCCACTTAGCTCACAGGAGCAATATAAGGGTGAAATGATACAGTTCTTACTCCAGTAGATTGGACATAGCAGATGCTCACTAAGTGTTTATTGTATCTGAATGTCCCCCCTCACTACTTTTTATAGATGTGACTTTGAAGAGGGTTTGTGGGTCTGGAGGGTGATGGACTTGGCTTCCTCTTCAACTCAGCTATCTTGAAATTTGATGGTAGACTAAGTTATGGTGTTTTAAAATGCTGAATCTGGTCTTTGGGGACACACAGCTTCCAAATTCTTGGTCACAGATTAACCTTGCAATTTATTCCATTTTTCTCCCCGCAACCAGAATGTCTGTTTTTCCATCATTAATATTACATTTGGAGACTAGCACTTGTCTGAAAGAACCCATGGTTACTCCAGAGATAGGACCATAATATTTAGCAGCTAGGAATTGAAATCCCTTTGATGTTTCTGGCATAACTAGGGTATGTGCTAAACTGTTTGGGTCAGCCACTCCGGGTCCGATGTCCAACATCAGATGACATCTGTGAGGTGGGGTATTGGGAGGAAAAGGACTCTAATGACTGGATCCTAACTAGTCAAAAGGCCAGTTCAGTAAATGGATCCGTGTCTCCCTGGGGAAAGGTCTTTATTGCCTTCTTGCATCCAGGGTTCTGATGATAAAGTCAGGTGTTTGTTGAGGTCTCGTTCTTGGTGGGTAATGCTTTTGGTCTCTGACAGGCTTTAGGAGTTTCTATCTTAGTGTTCAGCTATTCATTTGGTAAATATTCTCTATATTTTCTGTGTCCTTTTCTGTGTCTGTCTGTGTCTGTTTAGCTGGAACTCCTAGTTAGGTAGATGCTGAATTTGTTCTCTGGGACTGAACTTTTATATTTTTCTGTTTCTTTATTCTGCATGCTGGAAGAATTTTGGAGTAGTCTTTCCTTTGTTTGTCAGCTGTTTTGCTATTCAGCCCTCCTATTTTTTTGTTTATTTGTTTGTTTAAACAATTATAATTTTTTAAAAAGATTTTATTTATTTATTTGACAGACTGAGATCACAAGTAGGCAGAGAGGCAGGCAGAGAGAGGGGGAAGCAGGCTCCAGGCTGAGCAGAGAGCCAGATGCAGGGCTCGATCCCAGGACCCTGGGATCATGACCTGAGCCAAAGGCAGAGGCTTTAACCTACTGAGCCACCCAGGTGCCCCACCACAATTATAATTTTTTAAAATAGTTTTTTAATAGATTTCCTTTTTGAGATTTCTCACTGTTTTTTAATAACCAACTGCTCTTATTTCATAATTGTCCGATCATATTTAATGGATGTAATAACCTTGCCTTATCTCTCTATGGATATTAATTACACTTAATGTATTTTAATTTTTTTTCCAGCTTTATTGACCCACTATTGACCTATAACATTGTATAAATTTAAGGTGTACCACATGATACTTTATATAAATATATATTGCTAAATGATTACCACAGAAAGGTTAGAAACCACACCAGTGACCTCACATAGTTACCTTCATGTGCGTGGGGTGAAAACTTTGAAGATTTGCTCTCAGCAACTTTCAAGTATACCTAATTATACTTATTTTAAAATTTTGGCTTTGAATGTTCTCTTAACTGATTCCTTTATGTAAATTCTTCTGTGTGTTCAGTTTTTGTCTCTCTTGGTTATTGATCTTCCTCCGTTCCTTGTGACTACTTGGGACCTCTCTCAGGAGGCACAGAAGGCCTGCCAGGAATTGGCATGGGCAGCACCGTTTCCAGTGTGAGTCCGGGCCGGGGGGCCCTTGCAACTGCTCTGCTGGCACACTTAGAGATCCTGCCTGGCGACAGACACTCCATTCCTGGCGCCTGGGATCTGGGAGATTTCAGGGGTCCACCTGCTCCTGCCGTGGCATCCCAGATACTCACTTGGATGGCTGCCTCCATGTTCCTCCCTGCTCTGGTTTCATCGCCTCCAGACGGGGACTGTTGCTCTCATCTTCTGTGGCAGTTGCCCTGCTTGCTCCCCGTCATGTCTCAGGGTGGTCTTTTCTCCTTCGGGGCTTCCTCGCCGTCGCTGGTGCATCAGGCGTTCTTACTGTGAGCTGGCAGGGCTGAGCAGTGAGCATTTCCTGTTGTTTCTAGGGTTTGCTGTCAAAGTGAGGCTGCGGCATTGGTTTGGTCCACGCACTTAGCCTGCAGGTCTGAAGTGGAGCCTTTAGGGATGTGGCTGTGGAGCTCTCACTCAACGTGTTTTCTTCAGTGTCTTTTCTTGGTGGTTTCAATAGAAAAGAGGCAGACAGGTTTAGTTGCCAAGATTTCTAGAAGGGGGGGTAAATGGTACATGATGGGGAGGGCCCCACGAACAGGAGCAGGCAGGAACCCCAGCTTAGCCACAGAACCAGCACCGAGGCCGGGTTCCCCAGCTCTGGGCCGGCGGTCTGTCTTCTGTAGTGTTCTTTTGAGTTTAGTCTGCTGCCTCTCAGTTCTGGGTCAGTTCAGTTCTGGTTCCTGGTTCATTGAAAGACACATTCTTAGCTAGAAAAAATAACTAGAAACATTTCTTACTGGAGCCAGGGTGAAAATTCTGAATGTTGAATCAGAAGACCTGGATTGTAGGGTCCTCTCCGCTGCCAACTCCACGTACGACCTTAGGCAAGTCTTCCTTCTCTGGGCTTCCATCTCCTGTGTATAGGGGGAAGTGGATTAGATCAGGGGTACAGGTCCCTAAATAAGCAAAGTGGGCTGCAGTGTCATGAGGGCGGGTGATGGTGGAAAGCAGCCCTGACTCTCCCTGTGTATTGGGAGGAAGGAGAGCAGTGGGAACTGTGTGGACCTGAGAAGCGGATATCACACGTAAGGGAGTAGCCACTGCTCAGCTCTAGCTAAATATGACCTTGTCGGACTGTAGTTCTAATGTTACAAGACTTACTTTCTGGTGAGAAGAAAGACAATCTGTATTTTTTTAGTGTAAAATATCCTAATAGTAAACATTAGTAACAAAGTCAAGATTTTTAAAAAATGCTGCAAGAGCCAAACCATGTCTGCGGTCTGTGATTCACTAGTGTGTGGCAGTTTCTGTGTAGTCTTGGCAGTTTCTCGAGGCCCTGACAGTTCCATGTGTCTCTGTCGTCTGTTCTCAGATGAACATGAGGGCTCCAGCTCCCATCTGGAATTCACTGTGTGTCTTGGGGTGTGTGTGTGTGTGTTATCTGTCAGCTGATGTGCTCTTTTGCTCTCATGCTCTCTGGTTTTATTTTTGTTTTTGATTTGGGTTGTTTTTGGCCATAGGGTCTTTTTGAATAACACAGTCCTCCATATTTCTGCAGTCTTTTATCTACGGACAGGCTACTGGTACCAGTCACTGAGGAGTTTACATTCTGGGCCTTGGAGGCAATGGGATTACTTTTTTTTTTTTTTTTTTTTTTTTTTTAAGGTTTAACTCACTCCCTGTGTTTCCTTGCCATCTTCAGGAGCAATAAAATGTAATTTCTCAGTGGACAGTTGAGTGAGTAAGACTCGCCACAGTTGCTTAAACAGATGTGTGCCATGTGCCTCTCCTTACAGTCCGGGGTTTATTTAGCTCTGGAACTTTCTAGGGGAATGCCACATTAATGTGGAGCCTGAAATAGAGCACTGTTGAGCCTGGAACTCTTAGGAGAGGAAGAGGGTCAGTTCTCTTTGCAGTAGCTGATGGTAGGAGCGATGGGTGAGTGGCGATCGGTGAGCGGGACTCCGAAGAGGTTTATCTGGCAGGGTCCAAGCACTTCAGAGCACAGAGACGGGTCCCCCTTGGTGGCCCAAGACCTGAGAAAGGGTTGTCAGGGCCTGCCTGATTCTGAGGGCTTCTGGCTTTGATGCTTGGGAATGCTTCCTTGCATCGATGATTTGGTGGTGCTCCTGTCTCTGTGACGCCTGCGCTGATTCGGGCACATCTGATTGTGTTCCCTGGGGCTCCGCACGGGAATCAGAACTTCAGACCAGGAGCTCCAGCCTGTGGTCTGTCCAAAATATCTTAGAGGTCTGCAAAGTGATGACTGTGCTCTTAGGGCTCTGGTAGAAACCTTTACATTAAAAGAAGGTGAAGAGAGCCTATATTTTCCAGACACAAGGTATGTTTGTTGTGGTTGTTGTTGTTTGCTCTTACTTGGAGTTACAGCTGTTCTGCGTGGTCACGTGAGTATCTACAGATCAGAAGCAGTGAGTGTCAGCCCAACACGTACCCAAGAGGTAAAAGCAGAAGATGGTGATAGAATAAAATGACTGTGGAAGGGTTGGAAACCACTGACCAAACTGATCCTGTTATAGTACACAGCAGGAAGGTCAGCTTGAGTGAGGGGGACATGTGTGTCTTGGATGGGTGTTCAAATACTTATTCTTGGAATGAAAGAAAGAACGTGGTTAAATTCACACTGCCATCCACTGCAGGGTGAGGAATGGAATCCAGGTCTTGTGTCCAGTGTTAACCAGCTTCCCTTCCCCAAACAGCCTGGGCCTGTCCTTCAGACTGCTTTGCCATAGCTGCTTCCTTCCTTTTCTCCCCACCCAGGGAAGGATTTATAAACTGCTTTCTTTAGAAGTTCTGTGCATGTTGGTTATGGAGTGTGTTGATTTGAGGGGGAAGAGGCACTCTAAATGGTTCTCTACTTAGACTCTGGTTTCCTGGGTAATTCCCCTAACTCCTGTCCCTTGTCCCTGTTCTTAAGATGTTGGGTACTCAGCCTGGTGACAGTGACTGTGTCTGTTTGCTTTAGGGCTAGCCTGGATAAGAAGCTGGCTGCCTCTGTGAACATCCTGCCTAAGGCATCCTCACTGTGAGTTTCGCTATGGCCTCCGGGGGTGCTAGGTCAGGTCCTGGATGGTGGAAAGGGCACTCAGCTCCTGGGAAATTGTCAAAGAACAACTCAAAGATATTTGTTTAATGTTAATTTGTATTCAGAGGAAGTCACCTAGTGGATTTCTGTCACCTAACAAAAGCAAAAATAGTCTGTGCATGGAGAAGGGAGGGAAAAGACCTATAGTTTAGGAACAGTGAACCTTGTTTGCACATTCTTTGTTTAAATTAGTTAGCTTGCTGTTAGGAAAGAAGCCCGACTGGGCATTCCATCCCTGAGTAATCCTATTAGGGATATCAAAGAAAATAATTCCCACTGCATTTGAATTATCTGGAAAAGTCTGAAGGGTCGGCTTATGTGACAAGCTGTTTCTGTGTTGTCTGCCTTTCATTTCTTTAACACCCTCACCTGAGTTAATTCTGGTCTGTTCCATTTCCCTCATCGAAATATGTTCCCAGTACTAGCTGTGCAGGATTTGTCTTGTGCCTTGATGTCTCCCATCAGCCTGTTTCTCATCTCCTTCCTCCCCTTGTTGTTGGGGTTGGGGCCAGTGAGGAGAGAGAAATAATGTCTACTCCGAAGGTCAAAACAGAAAAGTGTCCTATAATGGAAGTTCCCTCCACTCCCCTCCCCCAACAATGTCATCGCCTCAGGGATTCACATCATCTAGAGCTGTAATTCCCAAATTTGGCTGTGTTTTAGATTCATGAGCTCCATTCTAGATGTATCATTCTCTCCGAGGGTGTATCTGTATCATTCTATATCATTCTCTCCGAGGGTGGGGCTTAGGTCACTGAATTTTTAGACAATTGTGTAGGTGATTCACATGAAGCCAGCCTGAGAACCAGTGCTTGGGAACTAGAACAGAATTTCAGCCTCACCTTCGCTTTGTATGTCCATCCTTTTTATAATTGACCCCTTCACCATAGCACCTGTGGCCTAGGTCATCTTAGCCTCGCCCTGAGTCAGCGTAGATATTTTCAGGCCAAATTTCTTTCCCTTCCATTGATACTGTTTTTGTACTCTTTTCTGAACATCATTACTGACTTTGTTTTTTAACTTTGGACCTATTTCTATATGTTATAAAGCTCACTTGTCCCCTGAAGCCTCCTGTGTTCTTTTTTCCCCCTCCTGTGCTTTTTTAATTATCCATTTGTGGGCACTCCACTTTGAGAGTAAATAATAAATGTAGCATTAGTCCAAAGGATGGGAGTGGCCTAGAAGCCAGAAGTATAGGATGAGCATAGAAAGAGTTGAAAGGGCGCCTGGGCGGCACAGTCGGTTAAGTATCCGACTCTTGGCTTCAGTTCAGGTCGTGATCTCAGGGTTGTGAGATCGAGCCCTGTGTCGGGTTCCATGCTTAGCGTGGAGTGTGCTTGAGACGCTCTCTTATTCAGATAAATAAATAAAAATAAAACTCAAAGGGCTGGAGAAGCCCAGATTGGAGGAGAGATAACATAGGAGTTTCTGCAGGGCTGCGCTGAGGTGGCTCTTCATGTGGAAGTTGGGGAAAACAACTGGGTGGCAGATGTTGGCATGCCATAAAGAAAACCATCTCGCATGTGAAAGCCTGTAAGGTAGAGCGATGGGTTTCTTCAAGAGATGGTGAGCCTCTCACCCCCAGGAATGTTTAGGCAGCTGCTGGGAGCATGCATTAGAATGGTTGGACTAGATGACCTTCGGGGACTTGGCCAATTCCATACATTTTAATGTGGGTTTGGGAAGATTTTAAAGTTTCCACCCTGGGGGCGCCTGGGTGGCTCAGTTGTTAAGCGGCTGCCTTCGGCTCAAGTCAAGGTCCCAGGGTTCTGGGATCAAGGCCCACCGTGGGCTCCCTGCTCAGCGGAAAGCCTGCTTCTCCCTCTCCCACTCCCCCTGCTTATGTTCCCTCTCTCTCTGTGTCTCTCTGTCAAATAAATAAATCTTAAAAAAGAAAAAAAGTTTCCACCTTGGTAAGTCACCTGATTGGGCCAGATTTGGCATCCTGCTGGGCTCATCTTGTGAGCATCATAATTTGTTTTTTTCTCTTCTCCAGGTACTTTTGGAATGGAGAAATCGAAGAAGCTACTGAGATCCTGTTGGTGAGTGAGGATGGGGGGGTTGGAGCCTTAATAGGGGAAGAGTGAGACCAAGGCCTTTTCTCAGGTTCCAATTAAAATTAGCAAAGATCAACCAGTTGAGGTTCTTGCCCCACATCAGATACCCTAGGCCAATTTGCAAATGCACCCGAGCCTGGTCACCCGGAGGAGTGTTGTTTCCTGAGTGGCCAGATGACTCAGTAGCTACACGACTGGGGCTAAGGTCCTCCCTAAAGCAGGAATTTTTTTTTCTTTCTTTTACAGCTAATAAAGACAAAGACTTCCAAGGTCCATGTGCTGTCCAGTTATATCAGGTAATTCTGGCCTCTCTTCTCAGCCAGGGATGTACCGGGGACTAAGTGAAGGAGCTTGAGAAGCAGGAGACCTAGAGCCTCGTCACCCACCTCCCACATGACCCTGGGCATGTCCTGTCCCTCAGATCCTCCATCTGTAAAATGAGAGGCTAGAATGAATTAGTTGAGACTGGTTCTCAAAATTTTGGTCTCAGGATCCTGGTACACATTTAAAAATTATCAAGGCCCCAGAGGAGCTTTGTTTATGTGGGTTATGTTAAAGTTTATTGTATTAGAAATTTAAATTGAGAAATTAAAAAAAAAATTTTAGTTCCTTTAAAATAATAGCAATAGGGGCACCTGGGTGGGTCAGTCAGTTAAGCGCCCAGCTCTTGATTTCGACTCAGGTATGATCTCCGGATCCTGGGATTGAGCCCCACATCGGGCTCTTGCTGGGCATGGAGCCTGCTTAAGATTCTCTCTCTCCCTCTCCCTCTGCCTCATCCCCCGCAAAATAAAACAAACACATACGCTGATATGTGTCCCTAAAATAAGAAAACGCATTATCCCCAGTCACTGGATAGGATTACCCCAACTCCCAAAAGTTTATGTGTGCGTGTGTCATGATTTACTAAGTAAGCTGCCTCATGAGAACTTGACAATGCCTCTTTCACTGGAAAGGTGGTAGGGGATTATCACCCCCATTTTTCAGATGAGGGACTGAGGCCCAAGGCTTTATATATCTTTGGTCTGGGAAGTGAAGAGAACTTACATTGTGTGCTGAGGGCCAGATGAAAGAAATGGAGAGAAAGGAGAGATCCCTGTGGGTTTGGATGGTCAAGGAAGATCCCTTGGAGAAGGTTAGTGGTTGAGTTGGGCCTTGAGCGATAGATAGGCTTTTAAGTGATCAACAGAACTTTCTAGGTGGAGAATAGAATCCAGAGGTGTAGGGGAGGGAGGGTTGTTTGGAGAAGGCGCAGTGATGAGTGTGGGATAGTAATGAAGGCAGTAAGTGACATTTAACGAGGGCACGCAGGGCTGGTCAGTATACGGGTGTGCGCGTCCTGTGTGTGCCTCATCGCGCTTAATTCTCGGCAGTCTAATCACGGAGGTCACGGAGGGACATTTTATCTCCTCTTTTGTAGGGCCTTTGGAAAAATTAAGGGATCTGTGCATAGTTCCAAAGCTATGAGGGGCAGACTTAGAATTTGAACCCATGACCGTGAGACTCTAAAGCCACCTGACCCAACTCCTCACTTGTTGACAGGTGGGAAACAGGCTCAGGAGCAGTGGGCCACGGTGCGGGGCAGGTGTCTGTGGCAGATCGCAGAGCAGCTCCCGTGAGCCTCTCCAGTTGGGTCTAATTGCAAAGGCTGATTCCAGTCCTCATCACTCACAGGCCTCTGCTTTCTTTCTAAAGGTTGGTGCATCCTTTTGAAATCCCAGAAGTCTTCAGTCTTCCCATGGACCAAGGAGATGTCCACTATTTCAAGTGGCTGGAGGAGGGCATGGAGGAGGACTGAGGGCGGCGGGGCTTTTGTGTCTCCTGATGGCTGCCTCTAGCCTGCAGCAGCTGCACTCTGGGGAAGGGGGGGCCGCTCTCTGCTTCCTAGCGCCTCTGGATTCTGTGTTGTTGTCAGCGTGGAAGAACTAAGGGACTTGAGGCTGGAGGTCTGAGCCCCTGAAGCTGGAAGAAGAGGCTGGGTTGGTTGGGACAAGCAAGAACCCAGTGGAATTTGTCTCAAGTGCTTGAGGCTTAAAGGTGGCCGACGGGTGGGAAGGCAAGGACAGTTATGTGGGGAGGCCAAAGGGAGGTGGCAGTGAGGGTGAGGTTTGTCGTCTGCTCCTTCAGTCACTGGGCCTACCCTGAGTGTCCAGGATGCATTGACTCTCCTGCTTCTCAGGAGGAATGGGCCTGGTGACCTGTTCACCCGAAGTGTGTGGGATGAATGTCACCTTCTAGGGGAACTGGCAAGCCCTTTAGCCAAAAGGATGAATTGCTAATGGTAGAAATTCAGGGACAAGCAGGATTAGTTCTTGCAACTAAAGATGCTCTTTGTTATTCCTGAGTCCCAAGGAGCTTCATGAGTGTGGGTAGGACTGGGGAATATTAGGTATTAGACACAGCCCCACGGCTTAGAAGCAGGTCTAGACTCCCCCATAGCCTGAATGTGACAGGTATCCGAAGGTTCTTGTACCTTGCTCTTTGGAGACATAGTTTCTGAGCCCACGGTACTAACCTTGTCACATGAGTGTTGAAACTGAGCATCCTAAAGTGGAAAGCCCCCTGGGGACCTGCCAGACCAGTGTTTTCCAGACTTGTTCCCTTGGGCCTTAGGGGTTGGTGGAAGGTACCTTGGGTGCTTCCTGGGTGGGGGCAAGGGTATGAGGCTCTCCACCCGTACCTCAACCTCCTCACCCATACCTCAACTACCTTTCATCGTTTTTATATATTAAGCTCCCTTGTAAGATTTCTGTTTTTTGTTTTTGTTTAAATTTTCTTGGTTAAAAGGTAGTAAACTAGTGGTCTAAACCAGTCTCCCATTTTATAGATTACCAAAGGAATTGGAACTGCACTGAGGTCCAGCAAGGGGGTGGCGTGTTGCGTTAAGGATGGTAAGATCAAGAATGCTCACCCCATGTCTGGTACTTCTCTGCCTGCTCCTGGGTCTCAGGTGGAAGAGGGCGGAGAAGGCAGGGCCCGTTGGGGTGAGAAGAAAGACTTGAGCTAGGCCTCCTCCATGAATCTGTCAACAAGGTAACCTCGCTCTGGGGAGATGCAGGGGCAGTTTGGATGGGAGTCCACAGACCTCTGTGGAATCCTGGGTCTTCCCAGAGGGAAGGGTATTTATTGCCAGGCTGTAGTTCTGACTCGTGCTGTGCTTCTTAAACCTAAGTTCCTCCAAATACAAAATGGAGGCCCTCCCAGGGCCCTTCTGTGAAGCCCTTATTGGGACTTAAGGCTGATGCTATTCCAAAGGTCCAGAGGATCCTTTTTTGATAGCCAGTGGGGATTTTGGAGCTGCCTCAGGAGAAGGACAGAGAATGATAGTGGTGATGTCCATTTTTACAACAGATGTTTCTGATACATGGGAAAATCTTAAACCCTAGTGAAAATGCTTTGGGGGCCACAGAGGGGTTGCCTCTGTTGCTTTAGGGTTAGAGCCCAGATTCTTGGTCTGGCCTTCGAGGCCCTTCATAGCCTTGCCTCACCCCACTTTTTCCATCTTCACCTTCCACTTCTCCTTGCCCACGCTGGCAAGGAGATGGCTCCAATATGCTGTGTGAAGTTATTCCTGTGTTCAGGCCTCCCCTCTACCTGTAGTGCCCTCCTGCATGAATGCCTGGGAAATCTGGCTGCTCCTTGTGAGGCCGGCTCCCCCGCCTGGAAGGAAGCTCTCCGGCCTCCATGTCCCCATTAAACTTGTGTATCATAGTCAGCCTCCTGTTTCTAGATCATGAGCTGCTCGAGGTCAAGGGCATGTCTCAATCTGTTTGATCTCTTGCACAGGATTTGGCTAGTATTTCCCAAATTGATGTTTCAAGGATTTGAATAAAGCTTTCTCTGTAGCCCACAGTTACTAATTTATGGAATTGGCAAAACCCAGCATTCTTTCTTTCAACTTCCTTAAAGTGGGACTAATTCCAAAGGAGATTTTTCTATTTCTGGCCTTCACCGGGCCATTTTCTGTGCTATGCATAGCACAGAAAACTGCTTCTCGGTGAACTTCCTCTGCCTCAGTGTCACAGCTGGCTACAGGAAATGGGAGAGGAGAGGACAAATGTCAGCTCTCTGCCTGGTGCTCTCCTAGGTTCTCCGCATTATTTTATCCTTCTAATTCAGTGTTCTCAGTTGGTAGCGGACTTCTGAGATCAGAGAGCATGGCACTTAAAATACTTGGCTGAGCTAGGCTGTGAACCCACATGTCCAATTCTTGATCTGACGCTCTTACTGTCTCCTTCAGAAAGGTTGGACATATCCCTTTATAGGCCAAACAACTAGAGAGCCTATTGTAGCCAACTCTAAACGAAGGGTTATTGGATCCAAAAACATCCGTGCAGTAAGTTGGTCTGGCACTTAAAAATATATGGTATTGTTTCCTTCTCCCCACAGATCTGGAGCCTGGTGACAGGATCTAATTCTGTAGATGAGGGAACAGATCTAGGGGAGTTCAGTGATTTTTCCCATCTGCGTGACTCCCAGGTTACTTACCCTAGACCACACTGTCCCCGCAGAGTGCTGCTGTGGGGCTGGGCTCGGCCCTAGACTAGCAGCTTCATACAGGAACGCCTTCCCAGCATTTCTCAGGAAAGGTCTGTTTTGAATCCAGACTCTCCAGAAAAATCACTTGAGAAAATGAGAAAAAAATATTAAAATTATCTGTGAATACTAAAGCGTAAAAGCATAGAGATGTTAACTGGTTTGAAGAAATCATCAGATTAAAAAAGAAGAGCAGGAAACACCAGCATGCAGAGTTGAGCGTGAAAGGAACCAGGTTGGGAGCGCGCAGGGGAGAAATGATTACCACGGAGTCAGTCTTGGATTGTTGCTGTGTCCCAGGTGTGTCTGTCTAGCTGTGTCTGCTGCAAACTGTGAGTTATTTTTGCAGATAAGTTTATGCACATAGTATACTTTAAACAAATTCTGTGAGCTTTGTTTGAAGACACTAGCTTTGGAAGCAAAATAAATTTTAATTGAGCAATTTTGACACATGATTTCGTGTATTCTTAACCTTGCTAGGATATCTGAATATTCTTTGAATACTATCTGATAATGTTCCCTGGCGTTTTCCAGTGTTTAAATATTCCCTACAGGCTACAGTTCTTTGTAAATACTACTGAGCTTAAAACTCAGTAAAAGAAAACTTGTTAAAATTTTTTGAGATATGTATAATGGAGAAAATATGAAAAATGTTTCAAGTATTTTAAGAATAACTTGTGATTTAGGGAATTTCTGAGAATTCTAATTTCTTGCTCCTAACCTCCGAAGGTATATGTTTGTTGTAAGTCTGGATCAGTAATCTTGACCACAAAAAACTCTTCACCCCGGAAGGACCACTGACCGAGGAGGTCTGTACAGCTGTTCACTTTGGAACGTGGACTGGAACTCAGGTCTCCTGAGACCGCAGACCAGTCATTTTTCATTCCATTATGGTGATTTCAGCCCCAGGAATAATCCCAGCCCCTCACCCAACCCTGGATCTGCTGTGATTTTGTTCTAAGGGCAGTTAAAAGTCCAAAGCAAAACGCATGACAGAAAAAAGTGGAGGCCACAGTTAATTAAGAATTCTAAGTGCAGACATTAATACTCAGGGGGATTAACAGGCTACACTTTACCCCTGAACTTACAGAATCCACTTGAACCCGTGGCCTGCATCTCCCTATTGCTGACTTTTCCCTATCCCTTCATACCAGTTTTTCTCAAATTAGACAAGCTTAAGGTCCTAACCCATCACATCTATATGGTTTCCTCTTTCACCTGGGAGCTGACTTCCGGAGGGGTCACAGCTGGCGTTGGAAGGGTGAGGAATGCAAAGGAACCTGCCTAAAGTGCTGTAAGTTAGAACCAGCAGAGACAGGCCTAGAAGTGACTGCAGATTTCTAGGACTGTGTGCCTGTGTGCCTGTGAGCAGTAAGTAGTTTTACAGTGACTGATATGTATTTTCATAAGATCCGTTTCTAAGGCCATTTCCCATCTTTTACTTCTCCACAGCCCTCAGCTACTGCTTTTTGCCCTCCTGGGTCAGGTACTCACAGATAAAAAAAAGTCCCACGTCCTGTTGGTGGTAAGGGTGAGAGTATGGTGGGGAGGACGGGGGGGGGGCAGTTGAGGGAGTGGCGGTCGGCCAGATGGGGTCCTGTCATTCCTCCTGTTTCTAGGAAACCAAGACCAGAAACCAGATAATTCCTCTTGGTACCCAGCAGTGGATACTTCATTCACTAGGGGAAGGATAGTTAATTTTTCAAAGGGAGCTTTTAAATTATAAACCAGACACATTAATTATAACTTTAATATAACAAATGTTATTAAAAGCAGCAATTCAAAACCATAAATCTTTCCAAAGGTGCACAGGGTTATTATAAGGTCAGTTGGCAGTAATGCAGCTATTAACTGGTATGAATGAAATGCTGGGATGTGGAGTCAAGGTGGCCTTGCTAGGCCTTATGCTGACTTTCCAAGTGAGGAAGACACCCCCCTTCCTCGCTTCCCCCTCTTCAAGCCCAGAGCCTCTCCGGAGCACGAGTAGAGAAGGTGCAGGTGCACTGTGGCAGGCCTTGCTCATCCTGTGCTTTCTCAGAAGCCTAGAAAGCAGGCTTGGGGGGTTGCTGTACCCTCTGAAGCCAGGCAGGAAGCCACAGATTGGATCCCAGATCCCACACCCCTGCCAGACTGGAGGCTGGCTTCTCAGTCCCCTTCCATCTGGCCCCAGTTGGGGGCTTCAGTGGCGGCAGCTGTGGGGCTGAGAGGAGGGAGAATGGGGCCCACCCCCAGCTGTTCCCTGCATGGCTCATGCTAGGGAAGCAGGAGGAAGCAGGTGGGCCATGTGCAGGAGGTGAGGTCCTGTGTGAAAGGCACTGTAGGAGCTGAGGTTTGAGGCAAGGGGCATCTGGATGATCTCAGGGACTCCCTGATGCTCACAGGTGGGGAGGGGCTGAGCCTAGCAATGGAAAAACCAGTTCCCCAGGCCCGCTACCCCCACACCACCCCTCTGTTCATCTACGTTCGCCCTGCAGCTGGCAGCCTACAAAACCCAGCCAAGCTGGAGGCCACAGCAGGGGTTGGCAAGGCCGGTCCCCATCTGGTCCACCCCCTGCCCTAGTAAAGGCACTTCTTTCTACTTTCCAATCATGTGAGTCTGTTTCTAATATCTCTGGAAGCAGCAAAAATGAGGGGTCCCCTCCCCTTCTCACTTTTGGTTTTCCTCCAGATGGGCATGAGTTGTAATGTCAGTTCTAAGAATTCTATTTTTACTCTCACTGACAAAGACTTTCCTTTGAGGGGACTGAATAGCACAAGCCCTTTAAAAATCCCAACCTGTCCCAAAAAGTGATTGTCAATCTCGGGGCACAGCAGGAGCTAGGGAAGAGAGTAGGCGTCCTCTGTGCCTCCCTGGGGGGTCACAGCTGGTTCGTGGCTGAAAGAAGGGGGCAGAGGCTGGACTTTCACATTTAGTTGCAGCACGCGGCCCCTGAAGAGGGCCAAGGGAGAGCCAAGGGCAGGAACCAGGCGGGCACCAGAGGGGGTGGGAGTGTGTATGTGTATATGGTGTGTGTGTGTGTGTGTGTGTGTGTGTTGTGTACTCCTGGAGGGTGAAAGCACACGTGTGATGGGAGCTTCTGTGAGAGTGTGTATGGTCTGGCTTGTGTGGTGGGTCGGGGGTGGGAGGCAGAGGAGACAGTCTGAAGGTCAGCATGATGTGGCTTCCTTTCCTCCCACTTCCTCTCCCTGCCCCACAGGTTGTCAAGGCCACTTCCATTCCAGCAAGGCCAGGGGCAGCTCCTTGGCAACTATGAGGGGCTGTGGCCAACGAGAGGACAACTTCTGGGACACGGGAAGCTGGCACTCAGAGCCTCTACTCTTAGCCGTAGTAAGTGGGCCCTGGGGTTGGTGCCTCCTGAGGCAGAGACCCAGCCTCTTCACACCCCAGATCCCGAGAGTCCCAGGGTCTCTGCCTCACAGGCTCTCACAGAGGCCGTCTCCCCCGCTCGCCGCCCCGGCCCAGGGCAGCAGGGAGTGGCAGGCAAGCGGGAGGGAAAAGCTCCGAGACGCGTCCTCTTCTCCACCTTCAGCCATGCTTAAAGGTTCCTGTTCTTATAATGCGATCCCTGGGTCGACTGGCTGCCCATGGGCCCGGTGCGAAGGACATCCAGGAGAGGGACAGCCGTGCACGCGCAGGCGTGTAGACACACACACCCAAATGGGGTGGGAGTGAGGAGGACACGGACAAAGAGAAAGACCTGGGCCTCGGGAAAAAGGGTCAGAGAGCCAGGGGGACACAGTTTCGGAGTTACAGGTAAACAGTTTGAGGGAGTGTGTGGAGACACCGAGTAGCAGCCAGTGGGACCTTAGAGACACAGGCAGAGGGGTCACGAGGCTGAGGAGGCCCGGGAGCAGAATGGGCGCGCAGAGCGGCGCAGGCCTCGGGCTGGCAGGCAGGCGGGAAGGGCCTCTTGCCAGGCACTTGGAGCTGTTGCGCTTTCCTCCCCCACCCCAGCCTGGAGAGAACTGTCTCTCCGTTGGTTTCCCGGCTGCTGGCATCTCCTGGAGCGAGTCAGTAAGGGGTGGTCCCTTCCCACTCCACCAGGTACTGAACCTTGCCCTCGGGCGTGACCCTCCTGGCCAGCACCTGGTACTTCTCCCCACAGGCTAGCCGCCCGGCTGCACCGAAATAGTTGGTGATGGATGACTTGAGGTGGGACAGGGACGAGTCGTCCTCACTGATGCTCTCGAAGGTGTGGCTGTCAATGCCTTCGTCTAGCCGCTCGGGGCCCGAAGTTGCCTCGGCACTGCTGTCTGAGGGGCAGCGCCCCCCCAGCTCGGCTGCCCGCCGCTTTGCCCGCAGTGGCAGGTACGCTTTGGCCCCCAGCTTCCTCTTGCGGCTGCCCACCGTCCGTCTAGGTCAGCATGGGGAGAGGGAGACGACAGGAATGGGATGGGATCATCCTGACGAGCCCTCTTCCTGAGCACCCCCGGACACTGGACACCGGGCACTGGGCCAGGCCCCAGGGCGTGGCGGGGGATGGAGTATGTCCCTGGGCCCTCCCCACAGGCCAGAGGAGGCTCGGGAGGAGGAGAAACTGGCTGCAGGGGAGCAGTGAGCCCGGAATTCCGACGAGGGTGCGCCCCCCACTAAAGCATGCCTGCGGAGGCCCTGCTGGAGCCGCTTGGTCCCTTCCCTGGGCGCTCCTGGACTCGTTCGCAGCTAGGAGTCCAGTGGTGTGGGCGGATGGGAGCGACACACTAACGGACCTTGTCCCCAGAGCCTGGACTGGAGAAAGGCGGGCGTGTGTGTGCAACACACACACAGGGACAGAAAGAGCTGGTGGAGAGACAGACACACATAAAAGAAGAGATGCGTGTCCACAGGTGCTTCGGAACAGAAAGTGAGCCCGGAAGAGCTCAGAGAACCAAAGAAACAGGAGGAACCAAATACAAATACAGAGGTGGTGCCCGAGATGCCCACGGGCGCACGGACGCCAGGATGCCAGTGTCCTAGCACACAGGTGCAGGAGCCTCCCGCGCCGCTAAGGACCGGCTCCTACCAAACACACTGTAACCCTGCCCAGGTCCCCAGGCGTTTTTGTCCCCTCTCCCAGACCCCCACCCTGCATGGTGCCATGTCCCCTGCCATCAGGCTTCTAAATCCATGGCTCTTTTCCTTAGTGACAGAGAAGACAGACCCCAGAGGTGGACAGCCAAGAAGCAGGACACCATACAGAGACCTGCAAGCCATGGCATACAGAGGCCAAGGAGCCTAGCATGGAAACTTCCCAGTGACAAGTGTCACATCGCCTGCAGCCGAGGCAGAGCATCCCGAGTGGCCATATGCAGTCCTGTCTGAACCCCAGGACTCAAAACCAGATGGTTCCTGACCCAGACTCACGAGCAGAGAGGGCCAGGTCCTCACGCTAGAGGAGGTATGGGGACGGGGGGGTGGGGACTGGGGAGAAGGACGGAGGCCGAGTCCAACCCGCAGGAACCTCACCT